CACAGGCCCGCTACAACTTCATCCGAAGCATGGCCGCCTACAGCCTCCTGCTGTTCCTGCTGCAGATCAAGGACAGACACAACGGCAACATCATGCTGGACAAGAAGGGCCATATCATCCACATCGGTCAGCCAGCCACAGTGCCACCCTCCTCTCCCTTCACCCCTGGCACCCAGGGGAGGATGGGGATCCCCATCCCACAGAGGGGAGCAGGCATGCCCAGGACCACCCTGCCAGGAGTGTCAGAGTCCAGCTCTGAGATCCAAGCTGGTGCCCACCAAGCTGTTCTGCACTTGTGCCTGGCCCTGGCCCCAAGGAGTTGGGTCAAGAGTAGCCAGAGTTCTTAGTTGGAAGCTGGAGCCAGGCGGAGTGGGGCTTATCCAGGCTTGGTGCCCCAGACTGGCTCCTGACTCCACTTCCCCTCTCTTTCCTCTGCCTCCTGCTCTACCACCCATCCCATCACTGTCCCCAGGAAAAACACAACCTGCCTGTTGTGGGTGGGGGGATGCTGTTGTCACAGGGTCCTTTTCCACTCCTGAAAACAGATCACTTGTCTCTGCCCGCCCTGGCTCCTGGCCCAGTCACAGGCAGCTCTTTGGGGTTTTGCAGACTTTGGCTTCATGTTTGAAAGCTCGCCAGGTGGCAATCTTGGCTGGGAACCTGACATCAAGCTGACGGACGAGATGGTGATGATCATGGGGGGCAAGATGGAGGCCACGCCCTTTAAGTGGTTCATGGAGATGTGTGTCCGCGGCTACCTGGCTGTGCGGTGAGCCTGGGTGAGGGCCAGGGTTGGGGAGGAGGGAGTATTGGGAGTGTTCTGAGGCCCCGTTTAGAATCAGGTTCCAGAGAGTGAGGGAGCTGCTAGCAGCCGGCTGCTGACCTAGGCCTGCCCTTCAGTCACCTCTGTCTGCCCACTTGTGCCAGTAAATTCTTGCTCTGGGCATCCAATTCTTGCCACCTTCTCCAGGATCCTGCCCACACCTTCAGCCCTGGGCTCCCTCTTTCTGGGCCTCCCATCCATCCTGTCACCAAAGCCTGAGTACCTGCCACCCCACAGGCTGCATGCCAGAGATGGCCTTTGTCCCAGTTTCATCTACAGGTTACTTGGCCAAGGCCACAATCCAACCAGATTTCATCCCACTGTCCTGCAGGGAAAGGCAGGTCAGGGGGTCTGTATCCCATCTAGGTGCAGAAGCCATGGCCAGCAGCCTTATGTGGGGGCCCAGGGTGGGGCACTCAGCCTGTCCAGAGTGCATGTGGGCAGCCCCTGCCTGGGCCACACAGGTTAGAGAGGGCAGCAGATGGAAAGCTACCTCGGGGGGATGTGGAAGGTGTGGCAGGGGAGGGGCTGGCAGGAGCCCAAACCTGAGGCTGTTGGCATCAGCCATGCCCCCTGCCTAGGCTGGCCTCAGTCCACCACCCCCTCCTCTCTCCCCAGGCCCTACATGGACGCGGTAGTCTCCTTGGTTACTCTCATGTTGGATACGGGCCTGCCCTGTTTTCGTGGCCAGACAATCAAGCTCTTGAAGTAGGTTCCTTGGTGGACACGCAGGCCATCTGGGGGACAGTTGTCCATTAGCTCAGGCTCCATCCAAGATAGGAACCTTTTGTGTAATTGTCACTGGTTGTCATCTCCTTGGAACTTCAGAGCAGACAGGGCTCCTGGGTGAGGCTCTGCCCCTAGACCACACCTGTGAGGGGCCTCCGCTTGTGCTAGCCACACCAAGAACCCACCCAGAGGCCTCTATTATGTCAACGATGCTACACCCACCCGCCCTTGGCCCTAAGGTCCAGGGCTGCAGTAGCTTAGCTCCCCAATGCTTAGTCCCCTAATGCCATGGGGCCACTCAGATGATGCTAGGAAGGGGACAAAGCCCATGATAGGCCAGGTGTGGCCTTCACACCCAGAGGTACATTTCCAGGGCATGGTTCTCAGCTGAAGTCCGTCCCCAGGGAAGACCTTCCTCCCACTGGGCCAGGGAGGAAGCACAGCCTGGCCTGGCCTGTGGCAGTCCTGACGCAGCCTCTCCCCCAGGCACAGGTTTAGCCCCAACATGACCGAGCGTGAGGCTGCAAATTTCATCATGAAGGTCATCCAGAGCTGCTTCCTCAGCAACAGGCAAGTCCCGCACCCTCCTGCCTTCAACCCCCTGGCGGCCACTGTGTACCTGCAGGGCCTGGCGATACGGATGCTGCTGTCCCCAAGCTGCCCCTCTCATGGAGACTCAAGCCTTGACAGGAGTTCTTGAGGAACAGTGAGGTGCTGGTTTAGGGGACCAGAGGTCGAGCCCACCTGGGCAGGTCTTGTGAGGCCGAGGGAGCAGTGGGGGCACAGGCCAGGAGGAGCAGAAATAAGTTTGGTATCAGACCCCACTTTGAGGGCAGTGACTGGGAGGTGCAGGCCAGGCTGCTGGTCACCAGTGTGGCGGGAGGGGATGGGTGCAGGCCAGGCTGCTGGTCACCAGTGTGGCGGGAGGGGATGGCTCAGGGTCCAAAGACAGAGCACCGAGCTGACAGGCTTCATGATGTGGGAGTCAGAGGTGGCTTTAAGGGGTCTGGCCTGAACACAGGGAGGATGTCAATCCCAGCAGGTGGGCATGGGGAAACAGAGCCATCCCTGAAGGGGGCACCTACAGACATGGGGCTGGTGAGGCCACAAGGGGCATGTGGGGCCCCCAGAGTGTGGCCATCTGTATGGGAAACTGCTGGAAGAGCCTAAAGGAAGCTGAGACTGCCCCCAGGTGCGTGTGGGTCCAGTGCCTTAACAAAGGCAGTGTGGAGGCTGGGCACAAAAGGATTTCTTGCTAAGAGGAAGCAGTGAAACCAGGCAGCCAGGACCTCCAGAGGGACCAGGGCAGGGCGAGAAGGGGCTCTCCAGGGATATGAGGAGAGTACACAGACATCTTGGGGGCATCTGGCCAGGACAAGCCAAGGGGTCCGAGGGCATGTGGCGGCTCCACAGATGGAAGCGGTTTGGCTGAGGAGCATGAGGTGGCTTCGGAGGCCTCTGGGTTGGAGCAGATGTGGTCGGTTTCAGGGCCTGATTGGGCAGGAAGGGCTCAGACCTCACTGGCTCCTCATATCTCCCTTAACTCCCTTGGCCTTTCAGGAGCCGGACCTATGACATGATCCAGTACTATCAAAACGACATCCCCTACTGAGGAGGGGACCTCCTAGGCCCTCTGCCCTGTGTACCCTTGAAGCTGCCCCACAATCATGGAGCACCTCCCAACCCTGCCGCCACATGCAGCGGAGGAGAGACCTGTAGCCCGAAGAGCCTGGCAGCACCTCCTAGAGCAGCACATGGGTGGCGCAGCCTTGGTAACCCAGTGGACTGCAGCGACAATCATTGGATGGTGCTGTGTATGCACAGGTGTGAGTCCACTCTTTGCACTGGACATATTCCCTGCCTGTCTTATTTCATAGGTACATGAAGTATTTTCTTGTGTATAAAAAATGATAGAAGATTTAACTAACATCAACAAAATAAAAACCCAAAATAGTGTCATGTTGGAATCTGCAAAATTACATGTCAAATCCTAAGTGCACCTTCAGCCAGTGGGTTTCCTCCCACTCACCTAGGCCCTGCATCTGAAGCAGACAGATCTGAAACAAATGAGAAACTCTGAAAGATCGGCAGGTACGAAGAGAAAATCGGTAACCAGGAAGAACAGTGAAATGACCAAAATGGAGTAGGAAGGAAAGGAAAGCCAAGCGGAGTGGCTCGTAATCCCAGCACTTCAGCAGGATTGCTTTAGCCTGGGAGTTCAAGGCCAGCCTAAGCAGACAAGACCCTGTCTCTACAAAAAATGTTAAAATTAGCCACGTGGTGGTGTATGCCTCTAGTCCCAGCTACTCAGGAGGTTAAGATGGGAGGACCACTTGAGCCCAAGAGCAAGGCTGCAGTAAACTGTGATTGTACCACTGTACTCCAGCCTGAGCAACAGGCTCAAATTTAAAAAAAAAAAAAAAAAAAAAAAGGGTTGAAAAAGAAGCTTCAAAACCTTCAATCAGCTTTTTCTTTTTTTTTTTTTTTAAGATGGCTTCTCTCTGTCGCCCAGGCTGGAGTGCAGTGGCACGATCTTGGCTCACTGCAACCTGTCTCCTGGGTTGAAGCAATTCTCCTGCCTTAGCCTTCCAAGGAGCTGTGATTTTTGTACTTTTGGTAGAGAAGGGGTTTCTCCATGTTCGTGAGGCTGGTCTCAAACTTGAGGAGGCTGAGAGGCAGGAGAATCACTTCATCCACCCACTTTACCTTGGCCTCCCAAAGTACTAGGATTACAGGCATGAGCCACAACACCCAGCCCCAATCAACTTCTAATGGGATTTCCAAAGTTGAAAAACAAATACTTAGCTTTAGGAAGTACCTGAGTACTGAGCAGTACAAATAAAAATAAAGGCCAGGCACAGTGGCTCACCTTTATAATCCCAGCACTTTGGGAGGCCGAGGCGGGTGGATTGCTGAAGTCCAGCAGTTTGAGACCAGCCTGAGCAACATGGTGACACCCCATCTCTACAAAAAATACAAAAATTAGCCAGGCATGCTGGCACAAGTCTGTAATTCCAGGTACTTGGGAAGCTGAGGTGGGAGGATCCCTTGAGCCAGGGAAGTGGAGGTTGCAGTGAGCCCAAGATTATGCCATTGCAGTCCAGCCTGGGTGGTAGAGTGAGGCTGTTTCAATAAAAAATATGAGTCAATGTATACATTAAAAGGAGTTTTAAAAGACGCTAATCCAAAAGAAGGCAGAAGAGAAACATAATAGACTCACCCCCTCAATTTAGAAGTCGGGGATTGTAAACATCAGTTGAAGAAGTGAGACCCAATTATGTGCCGATTATAACCAAAGCACTTTACAAGTGAAGACACAGACCTAGGATCAAAATAAGCAGATGGAATAGTCATCATGTGTATGGGTATTTATGAAGGAGCATTTCACAAGAAGCAGTTGACGGAGTCACCAGCAAGAAAGTAAACACAGCTGTGAGACCTGAACAAGCCTGTTACCCACCCGGACCTGCTGGGTATTTATTAAACACTGTCAACAGCAACAATACACTTTCTTCTCAATGTTCGTTACAAACTATGTGCTGGGCCACAAAAAAAGTCTCTATCTCAGTAAATGAGATAGAATTAAAATCGTGCAGAGGGTGTTCTCTGGCCACAGTGGAAGTTATAAATAACAGTAAGATACCTGAAAAAATGTAAAAATCAGTGAAACTAAAATACTAGACAAAAATAGCACAAAAATAGACACAAACAGCTGTAATCCCAGCACTTTGGGAGGCCAAAGCAGGAGGATCACTTGAGTCCAAGAGTTTGACACCAGGCTGGGCAATATAGTGAGATCCCATCTCTTATTTAAAAAAAAAAAAAAAAGGCCAGGCACCATGACTCACACCTGTAATCCTAGCACTTTGGGAAGCTGAAGCTAGTGGATCACCTGAGGCCAGGAGCTTGAGACCAGCCTGACCAACATGGATAAACCCTGTCTCTATTAAAAATACAAAATTAGCCAGGTGTGTTGGTGCAGGCCTATAATCCCAGCTACTCAGGAGGCTGAAGCAGGACAATCACTTGAACCTGGGTTGTGGTGAGCTGACATCACACCATTGCACTCTGGCCTGGGCAACAAGAATGAAACTTCATCTAAAAAAAAAAAAAAAACAAGGCTGGGCACGACTGCTCACCCCTGTAATCCCAGCACTTTGGGATGCCAAGGTCAGGAGTTTGAGACCAGCCTGGCCAACATGATGAAACCCCATCTCTACCAAAAATAAAAAAATGAGCCAGGTATGATGGCAAGTGGCTGTAATCCCAGCTATTCAGGAGGCTGAGGCAGGAGAATTGCTTGAACCCAGGAAGCAGAGGTTGCAGTGATCCAAGATTGTGCTGTTGCACTCCAGCCTGGACAACAGAGCTAGACTCCATCTCAAAAAAAAAAGAGAAAAAAGCACATGTGATCAGAGGGAAAGACCAGCATTAAAATGCTTTAAGGGGCTGGGCGCGGTGGCTCACGCCTATAATCCCAGCACTTTGGGAGGCCAAGGCGGGTGGATCACAAGGTAAGGGGTTTGAGACCAGCCTGACCAACATGGTGAAACCTGGTCTCTACTTAAAAATACAAAGATTAGCCTGCCATGGTGGTACACACCTGTAATCCTAGCTACTTGGGAGGCTGAGGCAGGAGAATTGTTGAACCCAGGAGGCGGAGGTTGCGGTGAGCTGAGAGCACGTCATTGCACTCCAGCCTGGGCGACAGAGCGAGACTCCGTCTCAAATAATAAAAATAAAATGCTTTAAGGTGGTGTTTTGGGGAAGATGACAGTGATCAGCTGAGTTCACAGAGTAAGAATACCAGAATACAGAGTGGCTTCCCAAATAAACAGAAGGAAAGAAGATCACTGAAAAATAAGGATCAATGTGTTATAAAATGGTAGAAATAATTTCAAATCACAATACTTGAAAGAGGCAGCTTGTCAAATTGGCAAAGAAAAAGTGTCAAATGCCGTGTACAAGTTTCTGGCAATATGGCAAATTATCCTGAAAAACAAAAAAAAAAATGCTGTTTACAATACTGGGGAGGGGGAATCTTAAATCCATGAGCTGTAAGAAAGGAAGGAATCTTTGGAGGCTAAAAAAAAAAAAAAAGATCCTACATGCCATGGAAGAAGATGACATATCTACAAGCCTCATCCCTTTGAGGAGTTTATCAGGCCACCTTGGTCTACACTCTTAGGAGAGGGGCGTACTAGAAATAAAGCCAGGTGTCCCAGAGTCCGCCCGGAGACAGACGCGAGCGGCTGGGGCGCTGCCCTTAGGTGGGCAGCAGTCCGTTCGCGCGCAGCTCCAGCAGTGGGGACAGCGTGTAGCGCAGCCGTCGTAGTGTGGTCTCCGAAGTTAGGCTTTGGAGCCACGCGGAGACGGCGCTGGGGTCCAACAGCGCCTTGTAAAGCAGCGACAGCCCCAGGAAGAAAAGTGGCAGCGTCAGAAGCACCTTCAGCGCTCCCAGCACGCACCGCCTGCGGGGCAACAGATGGGTAGGTGGGCAGCGGCTCGTGCGGGGACGGGAGACCCCGGCCGCGCCTGCTACCGAGCTCACCTGATGGCCTGTGCGCGTGGGCCGCCGAACAGCCGCATCTCCTGCGGGGAGAGGGGGGCAGGTTTCCAGGGGGAGCGGAAGGCGGTCCCAAAGATGGACGGAGAGGGTTGTCCTGCTCCAGCCCGCCCCGCCCGGGCCCGCACAGGCGCTCACTTGGTCCGCCCGGGCCACCTCCTCCATGAGCGACTCGGTGCTATACTGCACTCTGCAAAGCTGCCCGCCACACCTGCGGGGACAGGCATGCAAGTGGGAGCCCAGCCCGCCCCACAGCGCCCCGCTGCACCCACAGGCCCAACTCCCATACGGTTCATGGCCACTCTGCCAGGCGTCAAGCTCCGCCGCCGCCTCCATCACCTTCACCTGCACCTCCTAGAGCGGGTGAGAGTGCGGACTGAAGCCTGGGGGAGGCGTCCTGGCGGCGGGTTGAGAGACCCGCCGCCGCAGGTCTTGGGGAGGAGGCGGAAGGCACCGTGGCATCCGGGCGGAGCCGCACCTGCAAGACTATGGTCTGCTCCTGGAATACGGCCCAGGCCTCCGCTGTCTGCAGCGCGCCCTGCGTGTGGACACCTGCCTTAGACTCGGGGTGACACGCCCCTCCCACCCACACTGGAAAGCCGACCCTCCTCCGACAGAACCCGCTTCTGGCCGCACCTGCTGCAGCTTCTCCTCCTGCAAGGCGTACTTGGTCTCCGCCAGCCCCAGTTGATTCTTGAGAAAAACGAAATGTCAGGAGCCCCGCAGCCTGACACCCCGCTGCACCTCCGGTCCCCGCCCCAAACCCTCAGCGCCCCACCCCCAAGTGATCATGACCCCGCCCACGTCCTCAGGACTGGAGTAAGCAAAGCCCCAGGTTGTCGCGGCCCCGCCCCCAGGCAACTGTGCTCCGCCCACATCACCGCCCGCCCCGCCCACGCCTTCAGCGCCTGCCGTAAGGCACACCCCCAAGGTGGTCGCTGCCGGGCTCACTCTGCTGCTCCGCTCCTACTCAAAACCTCAGGGCCCTGCCCAAGCACCTGCAGAGTCACCAACTGGGCTGCGATTTGCTGCTCCGTGCGCTTCTGGCCTTGCTGTTCCCCTCCGTAGTAGAAGAGCTAGGGGTGGGACTTGTAAACAGGGTTTACCGGGCTTCTGGAGGAGCGGGTGTCGTTGGGGGACAGGGACAGGCAGGCAACAAGGGCGGGGACCAGGGCAGGACTTCCAAGAGGAACCCAGAGACAAGCCATCCCATCTCCTGCACGTACCTGACTCGACAGCTCCTCCCACTGCTCCTGCAACTGCCGGTTGCGCTGCTCCTGCGGGGAAGATCCTGGGGCGGTGCTGGCCTCTCCGCCGATCCCACCTTACCCCTGATCACCCCCGTCCCGCCCACCCTGTCGCACCCCAGCATGGTTCCGGCCCCATTCCTGGGTTCTTCCTCACCAAGTCCTCCTTGTGGCGCTGCGCCTCCTCCAGCCTTCTGCGCACCCGCTCTGCGCGCTCCCGCGCAGCCTCTCGCGCCTTCCCTGGCAGAGCCTGCGCTGCCTGGCTTCGCTTGCGCAGCAGGCTACAGAGGGAAACTGAAATTGGCGCTACACGGCGGACTGGGTCGCTCAGGATCCCGCAGTCGCCTTGAAGGACCAGATGCAGCTCACGACTGGGGACCGGAAAGCCCTAGCGAAATCCTCCACCTGGATCCGCTGGGTGGATCGCCACTTCCCAGGGGCCTAGAGCAGAGATGCGGGCCTGGGCGGATCGGCCTAGTACCCTGCGAAGCCCTTCGCAGCGCTGCCTGCGGGACCGACGCTAGCTAGAGCAGCGTTCCCCGCGCACCTGCGCTCGCACTCGCTCAGGTCCTGCAGGTGCCGGTTGAGGCTCTCGCTCTCGGCCTCGAGCCCGCGCATCAGCTTCTCTAGCTCCTGCTTCCGCAGGCGACCATCTCGGTTATCCTTCTGCAGCTGCAGCAGCAGCTCCTGACTCTCGGCCATGGCTGTGGAGACCGTGCCTAAATGCCAGCCGTCTGAGGAACCCAGCCTGCTGGCAGGCGTCACAATGGGCGGCAGGGGGCGCCAAAAGGGCTACGTCACAATGGACGGCAGGGGGAGCCCGAGCGCAGCCCCATACCTGCCCCTGCTCACACCGGCCGGATCACACTTAGTCGAAAATTGTGTCAAAGAGCCGCAATTGGATCAATGAAAGGTTAATAAAATACTAATACTGGGGCTGGACGCAGTGGCTCACGCCTGTAATCCCAGCACTTTGGGAGGCCTAGGCAGGTGGAACACAATGTCAAGAGATCGAGACCATCCTAACCAACATGGTGAAACCCCATCTCTACTAAAAATACAAAAATTAGTTGGGCATGGTGGCGCGCACCTGTAGTCCCAGCTACTCAAGAGGCTGAGACCGGAGAATCGCTTGAACCCGGGAGGCAGAGGTTGCAGTGGGTTGAGATGGTGCCACTGCACCATCTCAGCAAGACTCTGTCTCAAAAAAAAAAAAACTAATACTGAATGCAGGCAAGTTTGCTTCCCCCACATTGCAAACTGATCGATCTCTTGTGAAAAAGACTTATAAATACCAGAATCTATAAATATGTTTATATCTTTTAATCCAGTTATCCCTCTCCTGGGAACTATCCCAGGAAGGAAAAAAAATAATTTAAACACATTATGCCATTAAATGGTTCACTGAAGTGGTTACAGTAACCACAAAAAAGGACACAATTGTAATGGTTGAAATGCGTTTGGGGGCCGGCGCGGTGGCTCACGCCTGTAATCCCAGCACTTTGGGAGGCCGAGGCGTGTGGATCACAAGGTCAGATCGAGACCATCCTGGTCAACAAGGTGAAACCCCGTCTTTACTAAAAATACAAAAATTAGCTGGGCACAGTGGTACATGCCTGTAGTCCCAGCTACTCAGGAGGCTGAGGCAGGAGAATTGCCTGAACCCAGGAGGCGGAGGTTGCGGTGAGCCGAGATCCTGCCATTGCACTCCAGCCTGGGTAACAACAGGTGAAACTCCGTCTCAAAAAAAAAAAATCATGATGCGGCTTGCCTGTGCCTAGAGCTATGATGATGTCTAGTGAAAAAGTAGAAATTGATTTGGCATTTATGTTAAGGTAACTAAAATTATAAAAATACATGAGCAAGATCTGTAAAGGAAACAAGAGTGAGGAAAGAAACCCCTCTTCCTGTCTCTTGTCTCAAAGGAGGAAGTAAAAGTTGAGACATAGCAGGCATGAGGTCAGCGATCTGGAGGTTAAAGATTAAACCCCCCTTTAAGGTCCTCAGGCGATCTTAAGGGTGGGGGCTATATGGAGAAACGCCCTCTATTGTTCCCATTCAATCTTGCTCAAACCCCTACGCTTACTTCATCCATCAGACCCCCTCACATGTGCTTTCTAAAACTGTAAACCCAACACCCTGTGTCACATGAATATCTAGAGTTGTGAGCCTATATAAAGGCAGAGATTTCCTTCGTTAGACAAGCTTGGCTATTAGGTGACTATACCACCTTGCTCCCAACGGAATAAATCACCCCTTCCTTCCCAGTTCTGTGTTTGAGAGGTCTTTCTTACAGTCCCTCCTGCTTCAAGAGGAAGATAAGCTCTTTCACTGTTTGGTGAGACTGTAGGTAAACTCAACCTTTTGTTATTTTTTAGAGACAGGGTCTTTGCTCTGTCACCCAGGTTGGAGTGCAGTGGCGAAATCAAGGCTCGCTGAAGCCTCAATCTCAGGCTCTTGTGAACCTTCCACCTCAGCCTCCCAACTTGTCCTTTTAAAATCTGCCTGTATTTGTCTAGTTACAATTATGGACTTGGATGCAAAAATCCAAAATAAATTACAAAATCTAAAGGGAAACAAAAAGAAAACTGATGGAAACCAAGCAGAGTTTATTTCAGGGATTGTTCAACATCAGAAAGTAAGTGTTGGGCCGGGCGCGGTGGCTCAAACCTGTAATCCCAGCACTTTGGGAGGCCGAGGTGGGTGGATCACGAGGTCAAGAGATTGAGACCATCCTGGTCAACATGGTGAAACCCTGTCTCTACTAAAAATACAAAAAATTAGCTGGGCATGGTGGCACACACCTGTAATCCCAGCTACTCAGGAGGCTGAGGCAGAATTGCTCAAATCCAGGAGGCAGAGGTTTTGGTGAGCCGAGATCGTGTCATTGCACTCCAGCCTGGGTAACAAGAGTGAAACTCCATCTCAAAAAAAAAAAGAAAAGAAAGTCAGTGTTGTTCACCATATGGGCAAGCAGGGAAGAACTCCATCAACTCAATGGTGCACTTCAATAGATGCAGAAATTATGATACAATTCACCATCTATTGACAATTCTAAAAGCTCTTACAAAAGGGAGAGACCGGCCGGGCATGGTGACTCATGCCTGTAATCCCGCACTTTGGGAGGCCGAGGTGGGCAAATCACGAAGTCAGGAGTTTGAGACCAGCCTGACCAACATGGTGAAACTCCGTCTCTACTAAAAATACAAAAAAAAAAAAAAATAGCCAGGCATGGTGGCACCCACCTGTAATCCCAGCTACTCAGGAGGCTGTGGCAGGAGAATTGCTTGAACCCGGGAGGTGGAGGTTGTGGTGTGCCCAGATCGAGCCGCTGCACTCCAGCCTGGGCGACAAGAGCGAGACTCCGTTTCAAAAAAAAAAAAGGGTAGGGGAGAGATAAAAGGACTCTCTAGCCTGATAAAGGCCAAAGTAAACATTATAGCAAACTGGACTATTAGTAGTGTATGCTGTTTTTCTCTCTTTTCTTTTTTTTTTTAGAGTCAGGGTCTCGCTGTCACCCTGCCTGGAGTGCAGTGGCACTATCAAAACTCACTGCAGCCTCACACTTCAGGACTCAAGCAATCCTACTGCCTCTCAGCCTTTTAAGAAGTAGAAGCCGGGCGCAGTGTCTCATGCCTGTAATCCTAGTACTTTGGGAGGCCAAGGCGGGCTGATCACAAGGTCAGGAGTTTGAGACCAGCCTGGCCAACATAGTGAAACCCTGTCTTTACTAAAAATCGCTTGAACCCAGGAGGTGGAGGTTACAGTGAGCCAGGATTGTGCCACTGCATGTCAGCCTGGGCATCACAGCAAGACTGTGTCTTAAAAACAACAAAATGTCTTCACGCTGGGGGTTGTTGCCCCATTAGACTCCTTTGCCCCTCCCAAAGTGCTGGCATTACAGGCATGAACCACCACGCCCGGCAACATTTATATAAACTAAATACACAGGATGAGTACAGGGTGTTGGTAGGACGAGGAGGATGGGATCAAAATAGAGGAGGCACGGCCGGGTGTGGTGGCTCACGCCTGTCATCCCAGCACTTCGGGAGGCTGAGGTGGGTGAATCACCTGAGGTCAGGAGTTTGAGATCAGTCTGGCCAACATGGTGAAATCCCATCTCTTTTTATTTTATTTTATTTATTTTTTATTATTATTTTAATAAAAAGACGGGGTTTCACCATGTTGGTCAGGCTGGTCTTGAACTCCCGACCTCAGGTGATCCGCCCACCTTGGCCTCCAAAGTGCTGGGATGACAGGTGTGAGCCACCGTACCCAGCCGGTGAAACCCCACCTCTAACAAAAAAGAAAAAAAATGAAAGGCCGGCCCAGTGGCTCACACCTATAATCCCAGCACTTTGGGAGGCCGAGGAGGGTGGGTCACAAGGTCAAGAGATCAAGACCATCCTGGTCAACAAGGTGAAACCCCGTCTCTACTAAAAATACAAAAATTAGCTGGGCATGGTGGTGCGCGCCTGTAGTCCCATCTACTAGGGAGGCTGAGGCAGGAGAATTGCCTGAACCCAGAAGGCGGAGGTTGCGGTGAGCCGAGATCATGCCATTGCACTCCAGTCTGGGTAATAACAGCGAAACTCCGTCTCAAAAAAAGAAAAAAAAGAGTGGAGGAGACATGAGCACCCACCAGGGATGAGAACAAGGGTTATGCATGCTGTGCACCAGTAGAGAGCGCTCTGCAGACTAAAACTCTGCAGGTCGGAAGGAGAGTTTAGGAAACCTGCTATAACCAAGCACCGGGTCCACTTTCATTAATGTTGAGAAACAAGCAAGACTGAAGGTACTTTGGTGACCTATAATGGACTCAAAACGACCACAAATTGTCCACAGTTCTCGCCACCAGTAGGGGGAGCCTGTTTCCCCAGTTCAGCATCTTGTGCTGACAAACAGGATGATGCAAAAGAGACTTTGTGGGCCTCCAGAACCAGGACCTCGGAGCCCTTGTAGCCCCTCGCACCTTTTTTTTCTTTTTTTTTGCGAGACAGCGTTAACCTCCTGGGACCAAGCTGTCCCCTCAGCCTCCCGAGTAGCTGGGACTGACAGCAGCACCAACCAGCAGCAATGCCAGCAAACCCACAGCCGCCAGCCAGCCCTGGGACGACTGCAGCTGGGCAAGAGCACGCAGGCAAGGTCTGAAGAACCTTTCCAGCACAAGGCCTGTTACGCAGCAAAGAATTACTGGATGTTCATATTACTAGGAAAGGATGACTAGTGACTGTATTGTACTCCTGTGAATGTGACACTATGCAGCAACCGGGTGACTGGGGTGGGATGGCTTTACATGAGCTATTCTTGACATCTTGTGTTATAATTGGTCCCCTAGAGGTCAAAGATGAGGTGGGGGAGAGGTGGGAGAGGGACAGAACGGGGGAGAGGACCTGCTGCATTTCAGCGTCCACCTTACTGTGCACACAACTTCTGTGAGCATGTTCAATCCTTACAACTCAAAGGAGGTGCCACTGAAGCCTTCTGTTTACATGGAGGAGGGACATGAGGGTGCATGTGTCCTGAAGCTCTACTGCCACCCCTGGATTCACACCCAAGGCTAGAAAGGTGCTATTTGCCAGTGCTGGGCCTGAGGAAAGCCACCTAGGATCTGCTGCTTCTCTACCAGATAAACCTTAGAACTGTCTTGTCAAATTCTCTCAAACATATTGTTGGGATTTGATAGGAGCTGCAAAAAGAGCCTGTATGTGAAGTGTATCTATGAAAAGGGAAAAATGGGCTGGACACAGAGGCTTGCACCTGTAATCCCAGCACTTTGGGAGGCCAAGTTGGGAGGATCATTTGAGCCCAGGAGTTCCAGACCAGCCTGGGCAAAACAGCACGATCCCATCGCCAAAAATAAAATATTAAAATAAAAACTTAGGCCAGGGGCGGTGGCTCACGCCTATAATCCCAGCACTTTGGGAGGCCGAGGCGGGTGGATCATGAGGTCAAGAGATCGAGACCATCCTGGTCAACAAGGTGAAACCCCGTCTCTACTAAAAATAAAAAAATTAGCTGGGCATGGTGGCACGTGCCTGTAGTTCCAGCTACTCGGGAGGCTGAGGCAGGAGAATTACCTGAACCCAGGAGGCGGAGGTTGCGGTGAGCTGAGATCGCGCCATTGCACTCCAGCCTGGGTGACAAGAGCAAAACTCCGTCTCAAAAAAATGATAATAATAAAAATTTAAAATAAATAAATAAATAAAATAAAAACTTAAAAGGGAAGAATAGACACTCTCCATCAGGTATCGGCCCCAGGAACAGAGCATTCCTGTCCTATCCCACAAGTCTTGCCTCAGGCAAACATGTTGTTTTCAAATGGGCTTGGCACATTTATCAAGGCTATGCCTATGTCATTTGTTTCCTATTACCGCTATGAAAAGGTTTTTTTGAAAATTTTATCTGGAGGCTGTGCAGGGTGAGTAATCCCAGCACTTTGGGAGGCCGAGGCAAGTTAATCACTTGAGCTGAAGAGTTCAAGACCAGTCTGGGCAACATGGCAAAATCTCATCTCTACCAAAAATACAAAAATTAGCCAGGCATGGTGGCATGCACCTGTATTCCCAGCTTCTCAGGAGGCTGAGGTGGAGGATTGCTGGAGCCCAGAGGCAGAGGCAGTGAGCCGAGATCTGCACTCCAGCCTGGGTGACAGAGTAGGTCTCAAAGGAAAAAAGAGGAAATTGCATTTGATATGTACATAGTATAGGCTAAACTGAGTCCCCCCAAATTCATATTGGCCTCCTAATTTTCAACACCTCAGAATGTGGCCTTACTTGAAAACATAGAGTCATTGCAGGTGTGATTAAGATGTGGCCTCACTGGAGCAGGGTCCGACCCCCCCATCCAATACAACTGATGTCCTTCCAAACGGGGAACCTGGCCACAGACATGCACACAGGACCTTGAGAAGAGCACCACGTGAAGACTAGAGTTCTGCTCCAGAAGCCAAGGAGTCACCAGGGGCTGCGCAAGGGGCCAGCCTTGGAGCCTCACCCACAGTCTGCAGAGCAGCAGGGCCACCACCGCCTCCACTGTGAGACATGACCACCTGTGCTGCAGTGGCCCTGGGGAGCCAGTCCTCAGGGTCACACCCTGACAGCTGTCTGAAAGGGCCCCAGCTGCATTTACTGGGGCCTTTCCAGTGGGACCTCCTCCCCACATTACACAGAGGATCAGCCTGGGCACATGGCTTTTGGTAGGAGGCCCGAGCACATCACAAACATAGAGCGTGGCTTGTGGTGCTCAGGTTGTCATGGCCATGTGGCCTCAGCCTCGGTATCGAGTCAGAAGCTTTACCCAGGGAGGATCACAGTGAGGTGGGCAGCTCCACAGGACCCCATGTGGCGGTGGCCAGGGAGTGCGGTGTGCTCCGCAGGCCCAAGCTGTCTAGACAGGCAGTTTGCCTCTGGAGTCTACGTGCTCACTCCTTCCATGGCTCTGGCCCATACCCTCTTCTCCATGGCCTTGGAGTGTTCCCACCATATCCCGCTTGGGAAGCATCATGACCGTTTCCTTTTTGAGATAGGATCTGGCTCTGTCACCCAGGCTGCAGTGTAGTCACGCGATCACAGCTCATTGCAGCCTCTACCACCTGGACTCAAGTGATCCTCCCACCTCAGCCTCCCATATAGCTGGGACTACAGGTGAGGTCAACACACCAGCTAATTTTTTTTTTTTGAGACAGAATCTCCCTCTCTTGCCCAGGCTGGAGTGCAGTGGTGCAATCTTGGCTCACTGCAACCTCTGCCTTCCAGGTTCAAGCTATTCTCCTGCCTCAGCCTCCCCAGTAGCTGGGATTACAGGCATATGCCACCATGCCCAGCTAAGCTAATCTTTTTACATATATTATATATATAATACACACACACACATTTTTTTTTCTTTTTTTTTAGTAGAGGTTTCACCATATTGCCCAGGCTGGTCTCAAACTCCTGAGCTCAGGCAATCCATCTGCCTCCCAAAGTGCTGAAATTACAGGCATGAGCCACCATGCCCAGCCTCAATCACACCCAGCTAATTTTTTTTTTTTTTTTGAGACGGAGTCTCACTCTGTTGCCCAGTCTGGAGTGCAATGGTGCAATCTTGACTCACTGCAACCTTTGCCTCCAGCTAATTTTTTGTATTTTTAGAAGAGACGGGATTTCACTGCGTTGCCCAGGCTGGTCAAGAACTCTTGAGCTCAGGCAATCCACTCCCCTTGGCCTCCCGAAGTACTGGGATTACAGGCATGAGCCACTGCGCCTGGCCCACACTCAGCTAATTAAAAAAACTTCGTAGGCTGGATGTGGTGGCTCACACCTGTAATTCCAGCACTTTGGGAGGCTGAGGAGTGCAGATCAC